TAACAAAAAAAGTGATGATACATTGAGATAAAAGATATTCCAAAACAATCAGCATCATAGACCAAGCAGATAAAATCCCTTTAGATCCAAAAGAAGAAAAATATGTCGAAATAGTCAGAATTGCTTATAAAATAAAAATGAGTTATTCATATTTCATCTCTCCGAAAAATAATGTTTATCCCAAAATAATAGTTATGGAAGGAGGAGACCCTTCATTTATAAAAATTATGGCAGACTATGAATTTATGAATTTGATATATCTAGGAAAAGATTTGATATAAATATCGAAATTTGATGATATATTCATAAAAAAATATCCAGATTTGTCAAAAGACGAATAATATATTTGAAATTTTACTCAATAAGTCCTAAATACAATGGAGTTGTTTATTATCCAGTTGAATAGATAATATCAATTGGGTATGTAGCAGCCAACTTCCAAATAGATGTGGTGAAAAATGATAGAAAAGTTCCAACAGTGAAAAAATCATGGATCAGACATAAAATAGCATTTGAAATTAAAGTCATATACAACATTGCCAAAAAAAATTTGACAAAAAATTCTCATGCTTGTACCAATATAAAAACTGGATGTTGGTATCAAATCAAGGACATGGAAAATCAGAAATATTGAAGAATTATATTACAAGATTCGAAATACTTCAATTTCCAGGATGTCCTACCACTATAAAAGAATCTTGCCAGCTAAGAGAGTGCCCCAACTGCATGTGAAAGAAGAAGACAATAATAAAGCACATTCGACAAAGCTATATGGCGGACAATAATATAGTTGCATGTAAAGACATAGAAGATAAATGACAATAATAGAGAAAGATGCTCTTTGAATAAAAAGTTGAAGAAGCATGTGAAGATGTAGGCCCAAGGAGAAAAATAATAGAGAGGCAAATGTGCCTTTGCTGATGTAATAGAATCTCATAGACTTGTATAAATAGAAGCATTGTGATAGATAGAAATAATTTTGAAATCTCGAATTGTAATAAATAGTCATTCCTAAACCATCTTTAGTTTGAAAAATCAGTTTTTCTGGAAATCCTTGTATACCAAATAGAAATCTTGTAAATGTTCTGATAGAAATAAAATTTCAATATTTTGATATCAATATGAGTTTCTAAATCTTTATTTCCAACGATTCTTGAAGGATCTAATAGAAAGTTTTCTTCTTATTTTAGCAAAAAGAAAGATTTTCTTTAATAAAAGTCTAGAATTTTATTTTTTAGGATTGATACAGTGAAAGCAAGAAGCTGAAATTGTAAAGATTCCGTGAAGGCAGGAGGCCGTTAAAGGTAGCAGTTTACATATTCAGAGCTCAAGGGTTACTCGATTCTAAGAATAAAGATCCAGATCAAACCTAAGGTAAAACTATTAAATTTTTGCTAAAATTATAATGAATCTTTTTAGATATTAGAGATTCAAATGGATTAATTGTATGATTTGATGATTATTTGTATAATTAAATGTCAGGATATACAATTAAAGAATTAGATAATTTATTAGAAAGAATGTTAGAAGTAATAAAAAATATGTATTCTCAATTAGAAAGTACGGATGCATCTTTTGAAGAATATAATATATTAAATAATAAATGTGAACAATGTGTTGCAGATTATTCTAATTTATTAGATCATAGAATGAAATTATATTCAGATATTCAAAATAGAGTAAATATAAGATAAAATGTTTAAAAGATTAGGATATATGTTGCAATATAGAAAGAATCATTTCATTAAGGGTAATATAGATTTTTTCATGAAAAGGAATAGTGATAGGTCAAATAGAAAAATCTCTCCCTACAAAGAAAGCTTTTAAATTGTACCATATCAATTTAAAGCATTTTCCATGAATTAAAAAAATATGTATTCTACATAGAATTTCAAGGGTATTTTGTCATAATTTAATAAAAATGCTAAAAATCTTAGTGTCGAAAATCTTTGTACTCCTATATGGCTTAGCTCTGAGTTTATTAAATATTTCGGTTCTTCATAGTTCAATATGCATAAAAATATCTTTTGGGATTGATTAATTAAATAATTGCTACTTGTCTTCATGTTCTGCTAAGTTGTTTTCTTCTATTGAAATCTTTTTTAACATCGTTTTTATGGACCCTATATATGATGATGTTCAAATTAGTAAGTGTAAAAATAGGTAAGAGTGGGCATTCAAATTATGATTTATGTATTATCTAGAATAATTTTCTTACTCGATTTCTTGTGCATATTATGTGCAATGATCCACTCAACAGTCATTTGATATTTATGCATAGACCAATAAGACCAAGACACTTTGCTTAACCCCCTTTGGAATAGAATTTCCACATTGATGTTATGAATCACATAAAGTCTTTCTAGAACGTAAAATCTATAGATCCTAGTCAACTCTTAATGAGTACAATGATTGATGACATAAATATATTAGACCTTTCTAATTTTTTTTTCTTTGAATAGGATATTAGGAAAAATCTTTATTTTGTTTATCATAATGGAGAGAAAGTAGAGAGAAATCAATGTGAATTGAATACATTGTAATTCTTTTTATCGATATTGAGTAATTTTAGTAGTGATACTTGGTATAGTAGCTCTCAAATTGAAAGTGAATTATAATACATCGTGTGTTATTTTTTATAATACGAATTATTCGTTTAATCCATAATATATATGAATTCTTGATATAAATGAGATCTAATATACATGTAATGATCTACTTTCCTTGATGAATTTATGATTCACCATGTCAAATTTATATGAATATTCAGGATTTGTAGAATTATATTTATATGATTGAATAATGCATGATCGAATAAAGAACATAGGTAGAAAACACACACACACACACATAAAATTTTATAAATCGCCAAGTAGAGCCCTTGTTTGGTTCATTTAAAAAGTTGGACCACAATTTAAGTCAAAATTAACAATTAATTTTAATTACACATTTTATGGAATCCATCAACTTTTCAATTATATAATTTATTAACTTTTATCGAAATCTACTAAAAATATAATTTTATCTAAACAAAATAAGGGCATAGTCACGTATACGTATCAAAATGCGAATTTGATTGTCCATCATTCTCACATGGAAATTTGATTGTCATAAGTAGGTATGTGAAGGTACTCAAAAAATTATTTTGAACAGTGTGCAAGTCAATGAAGAAAAAATAAGACCACACGAGCATCATTTAACTCTTCGATTGGACACCGAACGCCACGGGAAGCACCTTCCTAAGGTTTTGTACCTAAGCACTTGTTTGAAAAAATTAAATCGTTAAATTGTATTTATAATTAACATTGAATTTTAATCACATATTTATGATACAAATAATTTTTATCAGCTTTTCACCAGATTTCATTAACTTCCATCGAAATATACTAAAATTTTTTTATCAAAAGTTTTGTCAAACAACCCTTAAAAGAGTTTCCTCATTGTTCGATTTATCTCCAACTTATTTAACTACGCAGTCCCTCAACAACCTCAAAAAAGTTTCCACATAAGATTAAGCTTAGTTGGTAGAGCCTCATGATAAATTCAATTCACCACAAAAATTCATTCACCTTAGTTCCAAAGGCCCGTTCAACAATCCTGAAGAGCCACCTAACCATATCTAAATAGAGCTCGCTCAACAATAGTTTATAACCACTCTAGATTCAATAACGACTGCAGCTATTACAATACATGATCAAGTAGTTCATCGAGTTGCAAGGCTAAGAGGAATGGATAAAATAGCATCGATATCCACGACTGAATAGCGACCACAACTATTACAATGTTAGATCAAGTGGTTCATCTAGTTACTAGGGCTAATAGGAATGGACAAATAGCATCGCTATCCATCCATAGGTTTAATTCTTTGATTTGTTCAACAGTTCAAATTCCACGTGTTTCTATCAATTCAATCACCAAATTCACCTCCCTCAAGTTGGAGAGATACACTTAAAATTGAGGTCTCAATAAATCACGATAAATCCTAATATAATCCCAACAAGCCACTTAGATCCTTCTATAACAAAGCATGTATATCCCCGAAGAATACTCTTATAAATGGTATAGGACCCAGATTTATCTTGAGCCTTCAGAAAGTCCTGAATCATTGTGGCTAATATCTTATGCATTGTGAGAAGATTGTTCAATGACAATGCTTAAAAGTTGCATTATGAACATTATTTTTCATAATAGCTAGAAACCAGAGCATCATTAAGAAACTTAAAATATTCTGAAAATGGGAAATATAAGAGAAACGGGAAAATGGAATGATGAGTCATCAAATAAAGAGCATCTTTTTCAATGCATCCAATACATACTATTGGGTACAATATTTTGGTTCAACTAGATATTTGCAAAACCAAGTACATAATGTCAAAATAGCCATGGTTGTATCTATTGCTTGATGTTTGTCCAAAATTGGAGTTGCCCTAAAGCAACAGACCCACAATCTCAAGTGACATGTACCATGAAGTTAAGAACTCAAAAAATGTTACTTGCTTTTTTTTAACTATTTTTAATTGTTCGAGGCCCATTTCATTTCTTGGTGTGTTTTTAAGTTGAGTGTTGCTATGAGTACAGAGTAATTTCAACAGAATGTCTATAGAAATTCAAAACACACACACATACACGGGGTGGGTGGTGTATTTTTTTCTAATATAAAACTCACATGGACCCTACCCCATGTGAGTATCCTGTTTTTCTTCTGTGCCAATAATTCTGCACGTACAGAATTATACTCTTAAGTTTCCCTGTCCAAACAAACAGCTGCTTGAAAAGTAGTACTCAAGACACATAGAAGTGTCCCTATTCTTGTTTAGGTGAACACGGGGGACCCTAATTCCCAAGTCTATTGAATTATCAAACTGAGATAGTTACAGCAAAGCATAGACTACCACAAGTCTTGGCCATTTTCTATTAGCTAGTCTTAATATTAATATCCAATCTTTTCGTCTATTTTTTCAACTCCAATATTCATACCGACATATTCGGTAACTTGAATTCGAAATGATCGAATTCGGGACATATTCCATACTGTATAAGTTTACATATCAACTAACAGTTCACGTCAAACTAGGATCACTTCACAAACAAAAAGGAATGTTCAAGTTCAACGTTGAATTCAAAAATGCTCTGTTAACAAATAAAAAGGACTTTGAAAGTGGAACAAAAATTACAACCAGAGCCCACAATTCAAAATCAAACTTTTAAAGCTCTAGTTCTCACTCTGCTGCAATCAGATGGGCTATAATTTGAGGTCAAAAAACACAATCAGAGCCACAATCTCCATTCTCTGCCTACACATATTATTACCTCTTGTTATTCTTATATATTATTTACTGTATATTACACCATAACCAACCCATTTTTTATTTATTTATTTATTTTTTCCCTTCTTTAAAATATAAGTAAAATTCATACCACGATTTTAACAGTCAGATTATGCAAAATGGGACCGGGCCAGGACATCAGCCCAACTTTCTCTTCTCTTTGATTGAGTTCATCTTGTCCTGTTTCCATTCATTATGGCGCCTGGTAATGAAAGTTTCAGCCTTGACATTCACATCCGGGCTCGGGCAAGAAACTGAAGGCCCTATTGAATCTCCACCTTCGGATTTAACTGACATCAGATCTGAATCTTCAAGCTCGGGGGGCGGGGAGCTGTGCGCGCTGCTTATCCTAACAAAATCTCCACGCTCCACGAATTTCATTTCCTTCATTTTGAATGGCGGTGGGGGTGGGGGTGGCGGCATTGGTATAAGGGGCGATGATGGTGCGATAATGACGCTTTCATTGGAGTAGGAGCTTCTTTTGTTGGGTTTTGGTGGTTTACCGGCGTTGACAGAGTGGTGCCGCCGAGACTCTGGTGGAGGAGGTGGTGCTGGAGGTGAAGGCGGAGATGGGGTGCTTATGTTCTTGAAACGGCGGCTTTGGGTTCCATTTTTGAATAAAGAACTGAGAATTGAAGGAGGAGGAGGTGGTGGCGGAGCTGTGGTGGAGGATGATTGGAACCGCTTGCTTTTGCTTCCTGTTTTGAAAATATTGTTGAAAATTGAGTTTGGCGGCGGAGGAGGGGGCGGAGGAGGTGGTGCTGTGTTGGAAACAGAATGTCCACGTTTATTCTTGACTCTCATTTTGAACATGTTCTGTAATAACTTAGATGGCGGCGGTGGTGGAGGACGTGCTGCTGCTGTACCTGTCTGTTCCAGTGAAGAATTCTCGGAGGCAGAGGCTGTGTCATAAATATTTCTTGTTTTCACCTTCTTCTTTCTCTGTCTCTGACTTTTGTTGTACAATGACGCAATTGCTGTTGCTATTTCTTTGGTGGTGGGACTCTTTTTCCGGTGAATTATTTCGCTTTTTACCTCCAGAAACTGCGACTTCGCAACTGGTTGCTGTGGTTGTGGTGGCGGCGGCGGAGGAGGAGGAGGAGGTGGCGGCGATCGATTTTCATTGAATTTATCATCATTTCGCTGCTTTTCAAATATTTCTTTCTTTGGGACACTACGGGAAGACCTTCTGCTCTTCAAACTTGCTGCATGTTGTTGTGGAGGTGGAGGTGGTGCCGGTGACTTTGGCGGTATCGGAGGTTGAGGTGGAGTACTAACTTCATACTTATCCACCGGAATCACCTTCACAGGCGTGTCAGGTTCATTTCTGTCAACCTCACTCCACCGAGCACCGCGGTGAAAATTTTCAACCACCGGCGATGTCTCAAAATCATCCGAAAACCTGAATTTATTATCCCGAGTTTCCCTCAAAGATTCCTGCCTTAGATCAGGATAAGAGCTGCTGCTCCTCCTCAGCCGTGTACCACCGCCGTCTCCCACTCGCACCGGAGTACTCGAAACATCACCGCCGTTATCTTTCTCGTCGAAAAATCCATACCACTGAGAACTCGAAACAGATTCCCCCGGCTGCGGCCTTGGAAAATCATCGTTTACTGTGGCAAAAACACCACAAAGAATTGCAAACAATACCAACACGATGATGAGTGAGTCCCAGCCCTTTTTCACTGAATTGAGATGAAGAATTTGAGTGGTGTGTGAAATAAATGGAGGAACCAAGAAAAACAACATAACTAATATGAGAATAGGTATAGCCAAGATTAGTATAACCGGGTTGAAGATTGGAGAGGGCTGCCGGGGGCGGCGGTGAGAGTAGAAGAAAGTAGTGGTGGTGGGCTGAGACCAGAACGGTGGTGAGTCTCCATCTGCATCCATGGCACGGAGGAAGGAGTGGGGGTGTTCCCTTTGAAATTAAGGTGTTTTGCTTTTTGCTTTTGGTCTTGATACAAAGGAGTTGTTTTCAAAGATTGGATTTTGCAAATGTACTTTACATAATGAGTTATATAATGTTACATATCACACCATCAGTTGTTAATTTAAAACTCAATTAATCTTTTCATCCAATTTTTTTCTTCACCTTATTTTGGTCCCATTTGTTTCCCATTCTTTGGCCAAAAAAATAAAAAATATGATCGTTGTCTATCACATTAAACCACTATATTTTATATAATCTCGTATATACATTAATGTGCAAGTAGCATAATTCTTTTGGTGGGTAGGGCTTTGGTTTCAACTTTGAAGTATTTTTTTTTTTTTTTGATACCCAGGTTTCCCAGTTTCGCCAGACTATATCCTGGACCCCCAACCCCCGGCCCCTCAGTGACTGGTGGAGGTAAATCGCAGTATATGCCCAAGTTGACCAGGGTTCGAACAGCCTTTATACTCCTGACCCCAAGAGACCCTCCTCCATGGTTATTACATCACCAAACTGCTCCAACCAAGATGGTTATTACAAACACTCGGCTACTCCAATCAGGAATCGAACTCCCCACGCTGGGGTTGCGAGCCCTGCACTGCCCTTCCTTTGCCAACTTGGATGTGCCCCGAGGGGCTTCAACTTTGAAGTATAGGATAGACAGGTGTTGGAGTATTTGAAAATTTGTATAAATGTATTATATACTCTATACCAATATTTTACTTCAATGTGCGGAATTGAGAATTTAATTTAAGAGAGGTATTTTACACTAAAACTTTTCAAAATTTTGTATTGGCTATGGATAGTGATACTATCTTGAAATTATCATATTATTGAGCTTTTATGATGGATCCACACAGATTCTAAAAATATCTACATAAAACAATTTATAGGGACTTTTCATTGGGCGTAGCCATGATTGAGGTCATTTTTTTTTTATTTCTTTTTTTTTTTTTTTTTAGGGTGTGTCAAATGAGTTTTGATTCAGCTGTTCAAATTTGCGTTTGAACTATTATAATTCAGGGCCTTAGGAAAAAAGTTTTACGGTGTCTTTTAAAAATAAAACAATAAATAAATAAGAGAAAATTCAGTCGATTATTGCCAACGACGTTATTACTATAGTTAAAAATTAAATGGAGCATATAATCCCTTAAATGTTTCATTGATTATCGTTGATGATATTATTATAGACGATCGGACAAAAATTAATATTTATCGACAATTTTGGATAGAATTACTGAAAACCAATATAATTATTTATCATCAGCGCACCTCCATCGATGATTACTAATGACAATATCATCTTCAATAGAGAATTAATTGATGTCATAAAAAAAAAAGTTCTGAAACTTGTATAATCGAATATCACCTACACACCTCTGTTAATGATTATCGGCGAATATGTTGTTGATAATCATTTGCGATCCTATGACCGTTCATCATCAATATAGAAGTCGTTAGTGTCAACTGGCGAAAGTTTAATCTTTCTTTATTTATTTTTTTAAAGTTATTATAGAAATATTACTATAGTAATTGAAGATTTTTTTTTAATTTTTAAGTCTGAGCAAATAGGGGGGCTTAGATACCCGCCAAAGTAGTCTTGTACTCTAGCCAACTCGGAACTCATGTGAAACTATGGGATTAAGACTTGATGAAGTGTAACGTGTTGTATGTGTAAAGTTCAATTCATCATTCTTTTAATCATATTTAAGGAAGATGAGAACAAGAGCTTCTTTGGTTAGAATTTTGATAATTAATTTTTTGACCGTTGGAGATAAAATGAGTTCTACCTGTAAGAGAAGAATTCAAAAATGACGACTGAAATGGTGAAATAACGGTCAAAAAATTGATTTTAATTGACTTTTAATATATAACAAACAAGCACTAAGAGGGTAACATAACAATTTAACAGATAAATTCAAAGTAAGTTTTGAATCTTGAAACTTATAAATGAACATGATACAACATACAATGTTTTTTGGTTTACAAAACTTTAGGCCCCGTTTGGAGTGATTTTTCACCCAAAAAATTTGATTTTTTTGCCATTATTTCACTATTTCAGCCGCAATTTTTTATTTATTCTTTCACAGGTGGCCTTCACTTTTCTCCCAATGGTCAAAAAATCAATTCTCAAAATCACTCCCGAGCAGAGTTAGAACCTGTCATTATGAAAATTTAAGCAAAAAATAAAAAAAAATAAAAAAAGTAGAAATTAAAATTCAAATTTGAATCTAAGTCAAATCAACTATTAATTATAACCAAAATTTTATAGCATCCACAATTTTTCATCTACACATTTATGCCCTGTTTGGGCCCCTTTAATTTCAAAAGTGTATTATGGAATAGAGATTGATGTTGTAATGTGTGATTAAAAAAGAAAGAAAATTTTTTATTTATGTGTAATATTATTTTAATGAAGAATATGTGGTTTAAAATAAATACTGTAAAAATAATAATGTGGTAGAATGGTTGACAAGCAAAGGCTAACTAATTTTAATCCCCAGAAAACAAAGCTTTAAAACGAAGTCAAGAAACAAATATGTAAATAATTCCAATATTTTAAACTCTTTAAAAATTTATTTAAAATTATTAAGAAATATATTCACAATCTACCTTTTATATATCAGTAATAATGTTCCACGACCCCATCATTAACACTACAATTCATCAAAGTCTTTTATGTTTCACAAGTGTATTTTACTCCGAATTACAAATTCCATAGGAGTTCACACATCACAATATTAAAATATAAAAATTTCATATATATTATTCAGAGCCTGTTTGGGGGTGATTTTGAGAATTTATTTTTTGACCGTTAGGAGAAAAGTGGGGTCCACCTGTAAGAGAAGAAGTCAAATATGACGGCTGAAATAATAAAATAACGATAAAAAAAAATCAATTTTTTGGAGAAAAAAATCACTTCCCAACAAGCTCTCAATCTCGTTTAGCTCTGGTTATTAAAATTCGATAGGACTTCACACCACACATTATTCAATATGTTGAAGTCTATCTAAATTGATTACGAGCTAGGATTTAAAACTTCAAAAGAAAATGGAAAAAATATAAGAAAGAACAATTGTAGGATTAGAGCGTGGTCGTAATAATTGAAACAGGCTGTCCTTTTACAACATCAAAACTCCAATGCAACTTTACACCGTCAATTTTCTTAAAAGAAAGAGACTTCTTTTACCATATATCTATACAAAAAAATCTCATTCATTTGTTGGGGCATTTGTGTCTCGTGCTTTATTAAACTCTATACTTTTACCTGCATCTTATAATTAGGTTTCATTTATTAATTAATTTAAATAATTTGAAAATTATAATATGTTTGAATGAGATTGTACTTCAATTCCAATGACATTGTCGAAAGCCACAAGTTATAATCTAAGCTTTTGCTTGTTGGGTGGTTTTGCTTTTTGCATTTGAATACAAGCATGCACAAATTTTAAAACACACACGTGCTTTTTTGAGTTTAGTGTTGCATTATTAGAGATTCATTCTTGGCTTTTTCGTCGATGGAATAAAAGATTTGTAATGTTAAAAAGGGTAGTGTTTTGAGATTTTTATTCATTGGTCAATGTTTCATAACTTGAAAAGTGATTTTGATTTCAAGTGTTGATAGTTTTTTAGGTTCAAAATTTTGCTTACTAGCCCCCGTTTAGCCCCCATTTTAGGAAAATGAAAATGGATGAAACAGTAGTTTTTTGAAAAATGAGTGGTTAAAAAAGAAAGAAAAATTTTCGATTTACGTGTAATATTATTTTATGAAAAATTGTGTAATTAAAAATATGAGAGAAAAAAATGAAATGTAATGAAATTGAAATAATGGGGGGCCAAATGGGGCTAAGACAGTTAGGACAATTTCCAAAGACAATGAAAGTAAAAGAAAAGAAGTTTCGAGACTTTAGATTTTTTTGTCTATCAAAAGATGAAGAAGAAAGGGAACAAAACATAACATGTAATCCACTATGTTCACATCAATTTAACAAAGTGTAATTGATTGATAAGACTACACAAACAGTAGGATGGAAACAAAAGAACTTTAAAACATTCAATTTATGTGTTTCAATTCTTGAAAAGGGCTTTCGAAAAAAAAAAAATTCACCTATCTAAAATAGTAATTGACTATTTTCCATTCGAGAGATGTTTTTCGCACAAAACCCTTTTTCCTTGTGCAAGTTTCATGAGATCTTCGTGCTTCAATCTTTGTAAGGTGGATTATACACCTCAAATGTAAACAAATAGTTTTCGACCTCAGATAATTCATCAAGTAAGGAGTCTAAAAATAACTTATTGTAACTCAATCAAGTTTATAACTCAAATAACTTGCTTGAAAAATTAAGGTTTCCTCACATATAAAGATTATTATAATTCGTATGTTTGGTACCATATATAATCCTGAAAATAAGGCAAAAAGTTGAACAAAATGTTGCCTTAAAGCTGTGATCAGAAATATATCGCCCATCTTACTCAATTGTGTATCCATCTTAAGGGGTGTTGTCGCCCCCAGGGCATATCTCCCAGTGGCAAAGGGGAAGACGGATAGGGCTCAGCGCGACAGTGTGCAGAGTTCGATTCCTCGCAAGGTGGAATTGACTTTGTTACAAGCGGGAGTTACCATATGGGTTAACATCCTTGGCCTATCCATGTGCTCTCCACCCTGACTCCTGGGAGGCACATCCTGCGATTTACCTCCTCCACGATGGTCCAGGATAGGATCGGTGGGGGCCCTTAAGGTTGGGGTTCAACCTTTTTAAGGGGTCTTGTCCGAAGGGTCCCGTGACTAGTAAGTGCAAGACAACTATAATATATTTGTTTTTACTGGGAAATGAGAATCATATGTTTTTTGATAGAAATTGTCCGTTCATGACATGATCAAGGTACTCGATTATAACCTAATGTGATGCCTTTTTTTTTTTTTTTTAAGGTTGAACTCCAACTTTGAGGGCCCCCACCGCCTCGTCCTTAAAGTTTTGTGAGGGAGGTAAATCGCGAGATGTGCCTCAACAGGTCAGGGAACAAGAGCTGCGTATACACTGCGCCTACAAGGAGTCCAATTCCATGTTTCAGGAA